GGTTAGAACTGACGAAGTTGAACACAATGATTTTATGAAATTCATTGTACGGAATGCTCAATTTTACGATTCTAGTCTTACAATACCAGAAATTTTCATTTCCAGAAAACCTTACAAACCTTCATTTGTCAGTTCATTGTAATGTTAGAATATTCTTTCAGTTATGTGGAAAACTTTAGAATGCACAATTAGATGAACAAGGAATTGTGATTGTTGATGATGAGACACAGAGAAGTTTTCGAGTGTAGAAAAATCGGGTGAAATGAAGTAGATGATATGAAAATTTACGAGGAAAAGCATGCCAAATCCATCGTAACGTGGTAATTTAACACCGATAACTTTATTCAGTTGCGCAATGAAGACGTGAAATGCTGATCCAGTTGTGAAACCAGAGACGAGCGCATCTGACATATATGTTGTCAGAAAGCCGAGTCGGAGAACGGCCATTGTCAACTGAAAAATAAAGTGCTAATTCGAAAACATAATAATAGTAAGGTGAACGAGGGCATTTCTTGCACCAGCCAATAGACGTTTTGTATCAGCGTTCACTTAACAAAATATTATCAAAAATTTGATTGAAGAATCCAGATCATTCGTATTCCCATCATATGAAAATCCAGATAAGTTATGACAGAACAATGATGCACCGAAAACTTCGGATACTGAATATTGCCAAACCTGAGCGATACCAACACCAAACGCAATGGCACTTGTCAACACAACAGGTGTAACACCCGCACCAAGATCAATGGGTCCTTGAACTGGAATGTACTGTTCCATTCGTGTACCATTGATGGTTTCGACGATCACGTCTGGATCGGGTACAAGTCGTAACCTCAACGCACCAACCATCATACTGGCAACAGCAAAAACACCTGGAAGTAATCCTCGGGTGACTATCTTCCAGAAATAATACTCCAGAAATAGCAGTTCATTTGATAGATTCCAAAAAACGATTGCTTGCTTGTGTATTAAAAACGGCGATAAATTGTTATATTATTGATAATTATTGCTAGATTGTTGTTAGATTGTTCCCACAATCAATTTCAGTTTGAAAATTATAAGTTTCAGTTGGATGGTTGCGTGCTTGCATAGAGCGTTAAATGTGGTTGTACTAGTGCCATTCAGAACTTTTAGTTGCTTGAATGCTAGTAAAGTATTTTTAGCACTTTACGATGCATCAGTTCAGTGAAAAAGCATGATCTTTGAAAGCAGAGCAAATCTAGGAGGCGAAACATATTTCTGAATATTTCCTAACTTATTGTCGAAAGAGTTGAGATAATGATATTTTTTATTTTATGTAGCGAAAAAAGCTCACTGCTAAGTGGGAATCGATGCTTTAATTACGCGCTAATTTAGCGATGCCCTGAAGAATGCTTACAAAAACAGATCAGAATTATTATGAACCCAATGGAGAAGACTCTCCACGAATAATTGAAGCGAAACTTTTGCAAAAATTAATCGTGCATATTCATTTGACGAAGTGGTAGTCGTGTTCATGAGAGATCAATCACCTGGCGTTATTTGCAGAAAACAAATGCGATAATGCACACATATTTTATGGAATCGCGCCACTTTCAGTCTCTGCATAAGTTTTAATAATAGTCCAATAGTAACCTAATCAGATTACGAATCGATCACCTATTAAACAAATTATGTATAACTACTGTCCAGCTTACCATATATTTGTTGCAATTGTTTGTAGGAATTACATTCACTACTCATATTCATCCTAAACTACAAGATTATGATCATCAAGCAGTATGTTCGATGCAATACTCCAGATTAAACAGAAAACGAATTGAACAGTTACCGATTGAGACGTGCCTTGATGTGCCGAAAATCATGTAAATTGTTGATGTGAAAAACGACGAATACATTCCATACACCGGTGGCAGACTGGCCAAACTTGCGTAGGCCATTCCTGAGAGTAAGGATGTTGCTTATGTAACGTGGCCAGAAAACGGCTGGTTGCATTCCGATAAGAAATGTTCACTGCACGTTTCGAAATGATTCAAACGCATATATTCAATTGCGACAGAATCATTTGAATTGCTCACGTTGCAGCTCATTATAAGAAATGCTTGAAATGGAGTTGCTAGTGGAAGTGTTTTGAGAGAGTATCAAAGGTGTATTCCGAAACTAAATTACCAGCATTTCGACAAAAGTTGCTCTCAAAACGGTGCACGAAAGTTTTGCAGAAAAAGACGAACCTTGTGGGACGTGCATGATACCTACTGTTAGGCCACCAATAATGTCGCCTGGGAGGTCTTTACGCCATTGATATTTGGGTAACCATTGCAGGATCGGGAAAAATGAGAGGAATGAGTGCAGGAGGCTAATTGGCTTCAGCTTTTCCTTCACCTGCTCACACGTAATCGCTTTTTCTGCCACAGCTGACTGGCGGTCATACTGTTCATCGAATTTTTCCTAGAATCTCGTATTTTACTAATCAGTGAAGTATGGTCGAGGAAGGCACAGCTTACAGATTATGTCGCAGCTATGATTTGGCAGGAGCTGTTACATAGTCACAGCAGGCAAGTGTTTGGATTTGAAAAAATCTCTAGGAAACTCAACTTAGTAAATTCATAGACAATCGGTTGCTATTCTTCGAATGCAATCAGTTATTTAGCTATTCGACAAAGGAATATAACACAATAAAGAAAGAGGCTCAGATGACGTCTTTTGACATCAAAACGATTAATGTTTAAGTTATTAATCGCTGGAATAACGGCGAAACAAAAAAAAAATCAAAAGGATATCACAAATGGAAACCCACTTGATTCATCGGAATGTGTCTCAATGTTTTGCCTCCAAACTTGCTGTTCGATATGCTAACGGTAACCAACTCTGGCACTATTTTATACCAAAATAAATAACTTTATTCACACAATAATATCAATGGGCTTCAGCTTTCGGAAACAGGTATCACTATAGACTGAAACATTCAATGGCCCATCAGTAAGCCAGCAAGCTATTCAACGATCACTTTGCTATTGATGTGGATCTCGCGCATTGATCATACAATGTTTTGTTTGCGCAGAAACAATCAAAAGATGATCTTGTGACGCTATAACCCCAAAAATAATAAACTGTCACTATACTGCGTGAACAAATACGAAATCGTCAACGGCTCAGTGCGAATGAGCGATTTGAATGTTCCACGAGATTGATATTATTGTGTCAATAAAGATACGAAGATTGAGGATATCCGTAAGGGACTGTCAACACCAAAAGTTACCGCAGCCTTCAACAGCCGTGATCAATCAGTTATTTGGTTTTTCGACAAAGCAATGTAAAACAATGAAGAAAGAGGCTCAGCTGACCTCTTTTGATTGATTAGGAGGGCTATAAATGATTCAAAATGATCGTATCGCTGATAAACAAGACAGTTGAGCACATCACATAAACTTCACGACAAAGTTCACTGATTATTCAATGATGTTGTTAGATTTTACGGTCACTTATCAGTGAATAGCATCTGCTATCAGTTCAACAAGCATACTGATGGTGTTACGTTCAGCTTTGAGAAAATTCAACGACGAATTTTACGCCATTGATTCAAAGGACTGGTCAGAAGAGTGGAGAGTAAGCGCTACGGTCCCTCTTTATCAATGTATGAAAACGCACTAATAATCAGTCGAATTAGTCCCACCTACTGTAAACATCGTTTTATTTTTTGAATAAGACCATCAAATATTTTTGGTTAATGCAATGACACACATCCTAAATCTTGACGAATTCAATGGCTGAAGATGACAACTTGACGAGAAGTGGAGTCGAGAGGGAATGAGGAAATAGACAACATGAAGATATGCTCTCGAGAAGTGAACGAATAGCAATGATGGAAATATAACTTTGATGGGGTGGAATGCACATAATGATGAGAGCAAAATGTTTGATTTTTGTTTATGTGATACATTGAAGATGATTGATTAGGAGGGTTATAAATGATGTCGGATCGCTTGTTTGTTTGACTCTTTAATTAAAATCATTCAAAAGAAACGTCGCGTTTTTGAGATGTTTACTTTGTCACAATAAAACATTAATTTCAACCAACATAGCGCGACGAATGTCACGAGTGCGTATCAAAATGATAGTGAATATTGCATGCGACTGTGAACATTTTACGATCAAAGAGACTGTCGATGCACTATGAATTGTGACCAAAAGTTATCTTGGGAATGGTGGAACAAAACAGTTTCGGTGTCATTTTGAATATCTCAATCGACGATTCTGATAACTGATAAGAATTTCATTGACCCCGCCGAGTATTGCAGTTGAAGAATCAGTTATTTGAAAGTTGATCGAAACAACAATTGGTTCCTCCAATGGGACGATAGCAACAAATGTAAGTTTAGACGTCATAATTCAGTCAATTTTTTTCCACTCCACGCAAGTTTCTTGATTTGGTTGAGCGAGATCAAATGACAACTATCGCATTAAGTCAATTAGCGAATATTGAATTGAATTTTGTGCGGAAAAGATGCATTTTATG